CCAAAAAAAAACAACCCCCAGAAAAAAACCCCTACCCCAAGCAAACACGACTCTGAGTTCATGTTGCTTGTCCTGTGTAAAAACCCCCTGACAAAAGTGAAATGAACAGATCTACCGGTCCGAGATTCACCATTGGGAGATATTAAAAACTGGGGAAAATCATGAATTCCTAAGGTTGAGACTTAGGCAAAATCAGTCCGCTGGTCCGGTATTCTTCAATCTTACCCGTATAGGAAGGTGCCGCTTGGTGTTGGTACTTTTGTCTTTTTGTGTCATTATTTTCCGGAAGCCACTGTCTTAAGAATTTGCACCAAAGTAAGACCCTTCGAAACAGATTGAGAAAATGTTGAACATGTTTGCTGATTCCAAATACCGGCTGGTTGGAGGGTGCCAGGGGTAGTGGAAGGTCCATCTTTTCCCCCCTCCTTCTGTCATTACTTCGTATCTTTCCTTTCGCTAAATGGGCTTTATTGTGTCCAAATGCTTCTCTTCATTCATGAACTAAACTATTTCACCAAACCATCTTTATTTTACAACTGGTGGAACCTTAAAGCCAGGGACTTTTCTATTTTCTCGCTCATGAAACACAGTTTTTCACAATGTAAGCCTTAGGCCTCTCCTGCCATTGGAGTGTAAAGACACATTTCTGCGACTTTAGTGTGGGTTATCGGGCGTTCCTATTCGATTGTTTGCTTTCGCCCGGGGTCGTGAATTGTTCTGTGATTTCTGATCTTCCAACCCGGCGTTTACTCAAGTCTTTATCCTGTTTATTCGATGCAGTTTCTATGTGGTCAATGGTGAACACCCTTGAGGGTTGCAGTCATAGGTCTACGGAAGTCTCTCTCTCTCTCTGTCTCTGTCTTTGTCTCTCTGTGTCTCTCTCTGTGTCTCTGTCTCTGTCTCTCTCTCCCCCCCTCTCTCTCTGTCTCTCTGTCTCTCTCTCTCTCTCTGTCTGTCTGTGTGTCTCTGTCTCTGTCTCTCTCTCTCTCTCTCTCCTGGATAGTACAAGGAGACTATTTAAAACCCCCGCCCCTTCGGTAAAGCTTTTACTGTCTTTCCTCGCGACGGGGGGCAGGATCAGTGCCGCGGGTCTTTCACTGATCAGGATTTTCTCTAGGTTGACATACCCCGGCACTAGTGGTACCCTCATTCCAGTCCCGGTGATTATTTCACCGTGTTTTGTTCTGGGAGGGAAGCAGCATAGATCTACTAGTTTGGGTAATAGACTGCAGTGTGTTAGTTTGTTCCGCGAGAGTTACCTCCTCAAAAAACCCACCCCAAACAAACTATATTTCGGAAGAAACGCTTGTGAAGTGGATGTTAATTGAACTTTTGTATCATATCAGTTAAGTCTTTTCTTTTTCTTATTGTGTTTTTAGTTCATGGATTGAAACCTGAGAGTGGAATGTATGTTACTGACGAACAGCCTTTTCTTGAACATTAATTTGGATTCGCGATTACCGTTGTGAGTGACCAGGGGTCACCAGGGGTCACCGTTGTATGCTATTATTTGATGTAGTTTTGGGTGTGTTTCTGCAAGTTTTGAGTAACGCGAGTGTTCTTGTGCAGAGTAGTCACCCGCTTCTGATTAATTGGAAAAGACCACTCAGCGTGCAGTTTGGGATTCTTTCAATGACATTTTCATTTTGTTTGTTCTTCAGTGTCTGAATTGTGGTAGCATTATTACAGTGTGGATTATTCTAGAAAGTTTTTATTTATTTATTTATTTTTGTATATAGTGTGGTAATAAAAATTGCCACTTTGAGAGATATTTTTCAAGAATGGCTTTATTTAATGTGAGCCATGCGGACAGAGCTTGCGTTGCGAGGCTGATATAGCCACCTAGAAAAGGAACACTGACGTCATCAGGTGCTGTTAATGACCATGTCTTGCTAGACACTGGTATGTGTGTTACGAGTGTGACACAGCCCCTTTGGCTGTGTGCTGGCAGTGTGCTATTCGTGTGCTTATTTTGAGGTCGAGGCTGGCATATGAAGGCCATGAGGAGCGTATCGTTCAAACTGAGACCCAACGTCAGCTACGACCTGCAACAACGGGTGAGCGTTTTAGTTCGTCAGCTGCTGAAGTGGGTGGATTGATGCGTGGACCGATGGTTTTATGGGTTTTTCAGAGAGAGAGAGATAGATAGATAGAGAGAGAGAGTATACAGAGAGAGGGGTATACAGAGAGAGAGGGGGTATACAGAGAAAGAAAGAGAGAGAGAAAGAGAGAGATAGAGAGAAAGAGAGAGATAGAGAGAGATAGAGAGAGATAGATAGATAGATAGATAGATAGAGAGAGAGAGAGAGAGAGAGAGAGCGAG